TTGGGCAGCATCTTACCTATAGACATGTTTTGACCCCAGGATTGGAATTCATTGCCAATACTATATTTAAAATTCAGAATTCACAAGAGTTCTAGTCTCACTTGAAAATTTGGGAAATCTGGGAATCCTGTATCCACATTTCCATTCAGCAACTGGACTGAGCTAAACAGTGGCTGTCCCCTTTAACAGGGGTATTTGTATGTTTACAAACATGCATAGGACAGTTTCTGGCATTAGGGACAAAGCAGTACACAAAAGTGAAAATTTCTCTTCGCTTGACCACATCCAAGTCTTTTTCCCTTTTACTCGTCCCTATAGGTCTTGGCATTTCCTAATGTCAATAAATACTCTGCCTTTCTCTAAAATTGTCAGTCTCCAGTAGGAATCTCATGAATAACTAATCCAAATATGGCTTATTTCTAGAGAGGTATGAAATTTCATTTTTAAAGGACTAGATCTTACACAGTGGCATAGCAGCTCCTTTAGCTTTCTTGATCGTATTCCCCAAGAAATAAATTACTGCTTTGTAAAGGATTTTTAGTGATATATTTAGTAATAAAAAGTCAGATTTAAGATAATGCTATATTTGTACTATTGTAAGACAACCTTCTGATTTACGGAAAGTGAAACTGGTTAAAGATAAAATGCAAAGATACTTTCCTCGTTGATCAGGTTTGCAGTGAGTGCTTTGTTTGATATATAAGATAATTTAACAAATTCTAACCCAGTGTCCTGCTTTCATAGATTAAAAGAGCAAAAGTAGTTGCTGACATCAGGAAGGAAATTTGAGCCTCAGAGACCTTGCACTAAAATTAATTCCAGAAGGATCAAAGATTTAATCAAAAATTTTTAAAAAGAAAACAGGATAATTGTTCTTATAGTCTTGGAGTTTTATGATCTTTGAGTGGGAAGGGCCTCACTAGAAAAGTTATCAGTTAAAGAATTGCTAAATTTGCCTATATAAAGAAATCTCTGCATGAAAAAAGCATCACAGTCAAAAGGGTCATTTTCCTTAACATATAGTATTCCCAAAAACTATTAATAAAAAGACCAATGAGAAAAGAACATAGGAAATACAAATGGCTTTTTTTTTTGAGATGGACTGTTGCTCTAGTCACCCAAGCTGGAGTGCAATAGCGCAATCTCAGCTCACTGTAACCTCCACCTCCCAGGTTCAAGCGATTCTCCTGCCTCAGCCTCCCAAGTAGCTGAGATTACAGGCGCCTGCTACCACACCTGGCTAATTTTTTTTGTATTTTCAGTAGAGACACGGTTTCACCATGTTGCCCAGGCTGGTTTTGAACTACTGATCTCAAATGATCCGCCCACCTCGGCCTCCCAAAGTGCTGGGATTACAGGCATGAGCCACCACACCCAGCCACACAGATGGTTCTTAAATATTAAAAAACAAGGGTGGTAGTGGGGGCGTGGGGAAGCGTGGTGGCTCCCACCTGTAATCCCAGCACTTTAATGGGTGGATCACCTGAGATCGGGAGTTCAAGACCAGCCTGACCAACATGGAGAAACTCTGTCTCTACTGAAAATGCAAAATAAGCCTGGTGTGATGGTGCATGCCTGTAATCCCAGCTACTCCAGGAGGCTGAGGCAGGAGAATCGCTTGAACCCGGAAGGCAGAGGTTGTGGTGAGCCAAGTTGCACCATCGCACTCCAGCCTGGGCAACAGAGTAAAACTCAGTCTCAAAATAAAAAATATTTAAAAAAAAACCTCATAATAGAAAACGTTTTATATATGTATCAGAATAACAAAGACTAAGAAGTTTGAGAATTATTATGTTGCTGAGATGAAGAAACAGGCACTCTAAAACATTTCATTGCTATGGAGTAGATATTAGTACAACTTCTATTGAGCGGCAATTTTATTTAGCAGGCTTCGTAAGTTAACAAAGCGTAAGAGCAGTTTCTGGCAAGTATTAAGTACAGGTTTTAGCTAGTGTAATTAGCACATTTTTAAATATGCATGTCTTTCAGCCAAGCTACTTCACTTCTAGGTCTTCATGTGTGACATCAATATGTTTTTACTTTTTCAGACAAAAGTCTTGGTCTGTTGCCCAGGCTGGAGTGCAGTGGCACAATAACAGCTCATTACAACCTAGACATCCCAGGCTCAAGCAATCCACCTCAGCTTCCCCAATAGCTGGGACCACAGGTGTGGGCTACCATGTCAAGCTCATTTTTGGTAGAGACAAGGTCTGTGTTGCCTAGGCTAGTCTCAAACTCCTGGACTCAAGTGATCTTCACACCTCCGACTCTCAAAGTGCTGGGATTACAAGCGTGAGCAACCATATCGAGCAAGTGTTTAAAAAAAAAAAAAAAAAAAGGAAGAAAACAATTCTCCTATTATCCTTAGAGAACTGATTAAATTATGATCTATTCAATGGGATACTACAGATAGCCTATTTAAAGGAAAATGGCAGCTCTGTTTTACTGAAAACAGCCTCCAAAATAAGATTAACAAAATGCTTGTATACAAGAAGCTTCCATGTAACACATACACATATATATATATATTATTTACACTTCTTTCTTAAAGGATAGAATATTACATTGTTGGTGTTGGCTCCTGTAGGACAAGGTAGGAGAATCAATGAAGGGTATATACTATATATCCTTTTACATTCTGTATTATTAAGATATGATCTATTTTTAAAACTGTTTCACAAACACAACTCCAAGTAGAAGCTGGTTTGAGATCTAATTCTTGCCCTCATTTCAGTGTTTTCCACTATGTTCACTCCTTGAAGTCACCTGGTCTTGATTATTGAGAATTCTGAGATTCGGAATTTTGATCCACACTTAAAAGAATATCAAAGAGGTGAGTGGATCACCTGAGGTTGGGAGTTTGAAACCAGGTTGACCAACAGGGAGGAACCTCATCTCTACTAAAAATACAAAATTAGCCGGGCACGGTAGTGCATGCCTGTAATCCCAGCTACTCAGGAGGCTAAGGGCAGGAGAATCACATGAATCCGGGAGGCAGAAGATGTGGTGAGCTGAATTCGTACCACTGCACTCCAGCCTGGGCAACAAGAGTGAAACTGTCTCAAAAAAAAAAAAAAAAAACAAACAAACATGAGCCAGGAAGGACCCATCTCAAATCCTGAGTTCATTCTGGAGGAACTCTTGATTAAAAGAATAGTTGTTCTTAGCTTAGAAACTTAAAAATATATTTTATAGAGAAGAAAATAAAAGATATCACAGACTTCCAAAAAGAAAAGTGACAAGGAACACAATAGGTCTGCCTCTCAGATCTAATATATTTAGAAGTTCTTAAGGAAACAACTATTACTCTATTTCAGTTTTAGAAACTCTTATTTCATATGCTTTATGCAGTAGGTACTACTTTAACACTTCGACCATTAAAACACTGTGAAGTAAAGTTCATGCTGCTAGCATTTGGTAGAGCTAGGGAACTGGGACCCAAATGACATAGGTATGTACCTAAAATAGATTACTCCAAATGTTTTAGCATATTGAGTCACCCAACACCAGAAAACACTGAAAATCGGTTTTCATCTTATGAGCAGTGAAAGCCCCAAGTTTGAATGTAGATTTTTTCATTTTTATGTAGGCCAATTTATCAATTCTTGCATGGCCTGGGGAGGCCTCTCCCACTCAGAATATAATAAGAGGGCAATCATAAAGATGTTTGGAGATTTTACTTAAGTCCATTTGCTCTAACATCCCACTATTTAACAGATTATCCTTACTAATTATGACAAGAGACAACCAAAGCTCCCATGGTTGGGTAACAGGAATCCTGACTTCTATTTTAAAATTAGGTAGGTAACCAAGATTGTCAAATTTAACTCTAAAATCATCAACAAATAGCTTACTTCTCTAAGCACATAGCCAACCCAGATGCTCAACCTTCACTAATAGTTATCTTTTCTAATAAAAGTTATCTTAATTAAAATACAGCAACTGCTTCCTTAAACATTCTTAAAATAACTGCCTTCCCTTGTAAATAATTCCTAGAAAAATTTAAATAAGTCATGGAATATAACCATCTCAAGTTTCTTATAGTTGCCCATAATTCTAAAGCTTAAGACCAAACTGAAGATACACAGTCCTGCCTTACTGTGGTTTCACTTTCCCACAGTATTTTCATTCACAGAACTTATTACAGTATATTATTGCTGTTAATCTCTTACTGTGCCTTATCTATAAATTATACTTTGTCACAGTTGTGTATGCACAGGAAAAAACTTACTCGGCTCTTTCTGGCATCCACTATGGGTCTTACACCCCACAGGTAAAGAGGGACTACTGTAACTCAAAATCTACTCTGGTATTCTATCTTGAAATAGCTCAGTTTAGTAACAGAAAACTCAACCTTGCTCCTTTTCTTCAGTTTGCCCTTTTAGATAAGCATTCACATTCTAGCTCCTCTTCTTCGTATTAAAGATAATTTTTCACCCAAAATAAATTGCTAATATGCTAGGTCAGGTGTAGTGGCTCACATCTATAATCCCAGCACTTTTGGGAGGCTGAGGTGGGTGGATCATTTGAGGTCAGTTCAAGACCAGCTTGGCCAAAATGGTGAAACCCTGTCTCTACTAAAAATGCAAAATTAGCCAGCAGTGGTGGCACATGCCTGTAGTTCCAGCTACTTGGAGGGCTGAGGCAGAATTGCTTGAACCAGGAGGCAGAAGTTGCAGTGAGCTGAGATCACGCCACTGCACTCCAGCCTGGGTAACAGAGAGAGACTTTATCACAAAAAATAAATAAATAAATAAATAAAAATTAGCAAATATATCTGATAAACCCGTCAACCAGTTAGCTAATAAACAGAAATGTCAACTTTTAAAGAACATTTTGGAAATATGAGCATGTTTGGTTTTCTTTTAGGCCTCAAACATTTTACTAGGTCAACTGTGTCTAAGAACTATTAGGCGGAAATACCAAAAAAGCCAACATGGCTCTGGTCTTCAAATGGCTTTTTCAAAGTGAAAATTAACTTAGCATATCAAGACAGACAATAGAAATAATATACATAATTTTATTACAAAATTTTTTTCTTAAAAAAACAAAAGGCAACATCCTAAAAAACCAAAAATTTACTATCGATACTAATTCCTACAAGTTTGCTGTGCTACCATACACAAGAAATTAAAAAAACCATTAAATATTTAGGAACATTCAACATCAGAAGCTGTAAAATCTAACTGTATGTAGTAGCCCATCGAAAAGCTACAACCTGCATTTTTTAAAAAGTATTTTCTCTACAGAGAATCTTATTCAGCTATACAAAAATCTGTACATTTTTATACTGAAGCTAATATTGAGCTGCACTTGAATTCACATTCTTAGCAAAACAATTGCCTGAGCACACACGCACACTCCACACTCATCATTAAAGGATAGCCATTTATTCTTCATCTTCATCCTCTTCCTCATCATCTTCATCTTCTTCCTCCTCCTCCTCCTCCTCATCTTCTGGTTCATTCTTCTTCTTTGAGCCTGTTGGCCTGCCAGGGCCTTTCTTTCCTGCTTCACTTTTGCCCTTGGCACGATATGCAGCAATATCCTGAAATATTGTCAAAAAAAAAAAAAAAAAAAAAGTAAGCATCCGGTGTCATTACTCAACTGTGAAAACCACTGAGTTGTAAACAATCTAAGATGATTGACCAATAACCCTGATAACTGTCTAAAAAGGTAGTCCCAGTCTAAGTTTTAAGAGCACTTATCCCCCTAGGCTTTAACAAGCTAATGTGTAAAATGACAAGGATTGCAATAGAGCAGTATCAGTACTTTCACTACCAAAATCCTTTTACCTCACACGGTCCCATAGTCCCCACTGTACCTTCAGATTATATAAATATCTACATAAAACAATTTGACCCTCTGCTTTAAAAAAAAACATCAAAAAAAAAGATTATACAATACCTACAATTAAGTCTGTCTGTAAGTAGTATATGAGAATATACTAGTGCTACAAACACTAGTTTCAGTCAAAAGGATAATTTCAATTACCTTGTGTGGAAGTGTGAAATTTTCATTAGACCTTTTCAAAACAAACCTGACAACCATTAATACAAGATTAACTAAATTTCCCAAGTTGTCTATAGTTATTACCTATACCTAGTCTTAACCACAGCTTTAAAAAATTAAGATGACAATGTACCTTTTCATATTTCTCCTTTAGTTTAGCTGCTTTCTGTTCATATGGTTGTTTATCTTTGGCTGACTGCTCAGACCACATTTCACCCAATTTCTTTGCAGTATCCCCAATGGATAGGCCTGGGTGTTCACTTTTGATCTTTGGGCGATGTTCAGAGCAAAACAGGAAGAAGGCAGATCTGAAAGGAAGCAACAGAGTTTAATAACCTGAAGGAAAAATCCAAGGGGCAATTTGATTTATTTTAAACTTACGGTGGCCTTTTAGGAGCATTGGGATCCTTTTTCTTTCCTTTCTTATCACCTTTGGGAGGGACGTAATTTTTCATCTCCCTATCATAGCGAGCTTTGTCACTTTTTGCCATATCTTCAAACTTCGACTTCTCCTTTGCAGACATGGTCTGTGGACATAAAATAAGCACCAAAAATACAGCAAAATTGTTAATTATAAACATCCAAAGACGGCAATTTTTGCTTTCCTTGTCTTACAAATGAAAGCCTAAAATCGTCTGCCTGAAACTCTTAAGATATTCGGGTGAGTCATTGGGTGAGCAGCTCACGAGTTGCCTACTACCTGCCTAAGGCCCTCCTAGCCGAAAGCCACACCTGCACCCGCGCTCCGTCCCTCTCCGGCCTCACCTTCCATCTCTCCGAACACTTCTTGGAGAACTCTGCGAAATTGACCGAAGAGTCCGGGTGTTTCTTCTTGTGCTCTTCCCGGCAGGTCTGCACGAAGAAGGCGTACGAGGACATTTTGCCCCTCGGCTTGTTGGGGTCTCCTTTACCCATGGCGAACAGAACGGCGTCCACCTGGCGGGGTGGGGGAAAAGCCAGAGGGTCGGCGCGGAGCCCGCAGCTGCCAGGGCGGACGCTGGCGGGGCTCCGCTTCCCGCCCAAATCCGCTCCCGCCCTGCCCGCGCCCCCCTCCTCCCGAGAGCAGCCGCCCGCGCCCCCGCGAACACCCTCCTCTTCCTCCTCCCCGCCCGAGCGACCGCGGCCGACTCTTCACGCTCGCCCAGCAAGTGGCTCACGGGGCCCGAGATGCCGCCGCCCGCCCTTCACCGAGTCCGGTGACTCCGCAAGCGTCCTCAAAACGCCTTTCCTGAGAGAAATGTCCCCCGGCCTCCACGTCACGAGTCTCCCTCAACCGTTAATCACCTCGCGACTGACATTCAAAACTCCCGGAACCGGCCCAGCTGGGGGAAGTTTCCGCCTTCCCCGACCGCCCGCCGGCCCTCCACAGCCCCAGCCCTCGCCGACCCGCACCCCAGATGCCGCTCGCCAGGTCCAACCCCGAGAGCCACAGCGCCGAGACCGAGTAGAGGCTCTGAAAGAATGGGGAAAGGCAGGCCCACGAACCCGAAGAGACTGGAAGAGATTCTTGCCTCGTACGAGCTTTTCCTCAGAGTCCCGCAAAGGGGCCGGACGCGACTAAGACGCTTCCCTCGCGAGGCTCCGGCGTAAACTGGTTTATCTCTAACGCAATCCTCAACCTCTTGTTTTGCAGAGTTCTCCGCGCCACGGCAACTTGACGAGCTAGGCCACAGGCCACACCCCCACTTCTGTGATTGGTTCGGACTATTATTCAAACCCAGATAGTCCCCGCCCCCCCGGCCACAGCAGCTTACGATTGGTCAGTGTCTTACCAGGCCCGCCCCCCACGCCCCAGCCTAGCAGGTTCGGTGGGTCGTCCAGGTCGTTAACTCCCAGACCCGTTAGAACCGGTCAGGAGAGGAATGTACTGCTCGATCCTGATTGGCGGCGGGAAGAGGGTTTGAAAAATGGCGGGCCTCACGCTGACTGGCTGGAGCTGTAAACGGTGGGAGTGGTTGGCTCGGGAATCCCGCCAGTTTTAAAAATACTAAGTCGAGACTGGGGGGTTGGTCTGGCTTGCCGACTGCGGCGGCTGTTTGCTGGCGCTAAGGTGACAGAAGAGGCCCGCCTTGGCCTTCCTCCGACCACCATTTGGGTCCTGTCTGTTCCCCGCCTCGGCTCAGCCCTGCTGCGTTGGCTCCTGGGAGCTGTAGTCGCTCTGTTCTGTGGCCCTCGAGGGTCTCGCCTGCGCCGCCCTGACAGTAATAAATGGGAGAGTTTGGAGTTTGCCCTGCGAATGGATTGCCCAGCTCCTCCCGCTGTCGCTGAGGCTGGCGCAGAACTAGGGGAAGTCAAGGCGGGGAACCTCGAAAAGGGCGCGGGAGCCCGGGAGGGAGCCGTTCCTGCGTCCCGTGGGGTCCTACAGAAGGTTCTGAAAGTAAGGCGCTTCCCGCCGAGGGAGTTTCCCGCAGGAGGCCCCTCCTTCCTTCCCTCTTTGTCTCGGGTGACAAATACTGGGAGGTAAACAAGGGCGCCCTATGGTCCCGAAGGGGCGGAGGCCCCGGCTTCTTCCGCCCCCCCCGCCCCGCCCCCTCTTGCGGGGTGCGGAATTCCAAACTCGGAGAGCCTCGGCGCCCACGCCGCACCCTGCAGAGCTGCGCCCGAAGCGCGGATGCCGGCGGCTGTCCAGCCTTTGGCTGTCCTGGCCTTCGCCTGAGCATTCACTGTCTCGTCTTACTAGTGTGGTAGTTTTTAAAAATTGAGAATCCTGGCCGGGCGCGGTGGCTCACGCCTGTAATCCCAGCACTTTACGAGGCCCAGGCGGGCGGATCAAGGTCAGGAGTTCGAGACCGTCCTAGCCAACATGGTGAAACCCTGTCTCTACTAAAATACAAAAAAAAAAAAAAATTAGCCGGGCGTGGTGGCGCGTGCCTGTAATCCCAGCTACACTGGGAGGCTGAGACAGGAGAATCGCTTGAACTCGGGAGGCGGAGGTTGCAGTAAGCGGAAATCACTGCACTCCAGGCCTGACGACAGAGCGACCGTTTCAAAAAAAAAATTGAGAATCCCATAAAAGCAATGCATGCTCCCCATCCCACTCCCAATTGCATATATTCTCCGTACAGCATACAGCCACTTTTTACAGGCTCCTCCAAGCCCGGGGTAAGAACCTCCGTTTTAGTATTTAGGGAGAGCGCGCCAAAGCTAACTTACCTTACTGCTTACCAGCGTCACAAGCTGCTTTTCCCAAGGTAGGAGGACTTTCATGGACATCCTGGTGTGCTATTTCTGTGGTATTTAGTTTTGAGGGGTTCCTCCCATTATTGGCATATAGATTTTATGACTTTCAAGAAATTTTAAATATTTTGTGTTAATTTTTCAGTTAATTGTTGGCACTTGTTAGACTATGCTCTTTGGTTTATATATGGTTATCATACTCAATAGTGCTTGAAAACCATTAGTTATATATCTAGTTTTACTAATAAAAATGAGAGCTTAAAAAACGTATTTTCCTAGGAAATGGATAGTGGTTGCCCAACATTGTGAATGTACTTAATGCCAGTGAATTGTACACTGAGGAATGGTTAAAATGGTAACTTATGTTATACATGTTTTACCACACACACACAAAAAAATTGTGGCAGTTTTTCAAACAGAAAAAAAAATGCATTTTCTTGTATTTATTATCATATTTCTTAGTTTATAACATTCTCTTTTCTGCCTTAAGTTGCAATACCTACAAAATCACAGTTGCAAGTGTGTTATAAAAGCACCCAAAAATCCAAATTAACCAAATAATTCATACTACTTTATTCAAATAGCAGTTAGCAGTGAGATCTGCATTACAGTTTTAAAATGTTTTTAAATTTTATGTTTAGAATATTATTTTTTTTAATTATGGCATAAAGTAAGCTGTGCTTGTATAAAAACTGGGCCTTTATTCAAGAACAGTGTATTGAATATGCCAAGCATTGAGCTTGGCTGTAGAGATACAAAGATAAACAGTCATAGCTTGTGCTCTCAAAAGTTTAGTGTAGAGACAAAATAGGAAACAGTATATTAGTTAAAATTGTTCAATAATGAGAGCATAAGAGAGTCACCTAAGATTGTATAGGGCAGTAGGAAAACCTTTCTATGAAAGTAGCATTTCAGTAGAGTTGTACTGGAGAATGTCAAGTAAAGGAAAACAAAAAAAACAGTCTCTTGAGAGAGCCTGGCTTATTCGGGGATCAACTAGTAGTTCAGTATTATAGGAGCTTAATGATCATGATGCTCACAACCTGCAGCTTATAAAGGAATTTATCTCTCCAGTGAAAAACTGGGGAGAATGAAATAATTAGGTTTCCATGTTAGATAGCAGTGTCAATAGCGTGGTATAAATAAATGAGGTAAGATTAGAAATCAATTGACTGTTTTCATTCTTTTCCATGTAAGGTTAGAAATCAGTTCACTGTGTTCATTCTTTTCTATGAGTCCCAAACTGTAATCAGAGAGGCAATGGTAATAGATGTGACTCACTTATTTACATGAATAATCTCTCACTACAAGTTAATCAACTTTTTAGTGTTCACTAAAGTTTTACTTTATTTGAGGAATTTTGCATTATTTATATAATTTAATAAGATGGTTTCACAACCTGCTTTTTTTTAAATGTCACTGTAATGCAAATAGTGAATTTATACACATCCAAAATCAGAGCCACTAATTGAATTATACATTCTATTCTAGCACTTCTGTTTTCTAAGAATCATGATTCTTAGATCTCTTTCCTTTCGATTCCGTCACTTAAACTATTTTTTTTTCCAGAAAGCAATAGTTTCTGGAAAAAAATAGCTCAAGTGATGGAATTGAAAGGAATTATTTTTCGGAAAAATTTTTTTTTAGACAGAGTCTCGCTCTGTCTTCCAGGCTGGAGTGCAGAGGCGCAATCTCAGCGCACTGAAACCTCCGCCTCCCAGGTTCAAGCAATTCTCCTGCCTCAGCCTGCTGAGTAGCTGGGATTACAGGCATGAGCCACCACACTGGACTACTTTTTGTATTTTTAGTAGAGGCGGGGATTCATCATGTTGATCAGGCTGGTCTCCAACTCTTGACCTCGTGATCTGCCCACCTTGGCCTCCCAAAGTGCTGTGATTACAGATGTGAGCCACCGTGATAGGCCAGAAAGGCTTTTTAATCACCTGCCAGTAGTTGATGCCTAGGAGAGGCAAAGGACCATAAGAGTAAGCTAAAAGTAGATGCTCGGCTCACCTAAGGATTATAGGTTGAATTGTGTTCCCCCACCAACTTTTCTATGTTGAAGTCCTAACTAACACCCTGTATCAAAGAAGATAATCTTATTTGAAAATATAGTCATTGCAGAAATAATTTGTCAAGATGAGCTCACACTGGAATGGGTGAGCCCCTAATCCAGTATGACTGATGTCCTTTTCAAAAGGAGAAATTTGGACAGAGACAGCCGTAGAAGTAAGATGATGTGAAAAAAAAACATAGGAAGAAGATGGCTATCAACAAGCTAAGGAGAGAGGCATGGAACTGATCCTTTCCTTACAGCCTCAAGGAAGCAGGGAAGGAACCAACCCTGCTAATATCATTTACCATTCTCTTCTCCATAATGGCAGAGAAAAGGAAAACATTTCTATATTTAACCTACTTTTACCATCACTGCCAAGACTTAACTCTTATAACACACTTCCTGACTTAAAAGTACAATTAAGAGGCACACTAAAGTGAGAAATGAAATAAGGCTTAGCTGAGATCTATGCAGTTGTTGGTTACAGAACAACCCCCTTTTTTGTGTAAAATATATAATCTGGCAGCCCAAAAAATCTAGTCCTAAATGTAATTCTCAAATGATGGATTAAATGCACACATTCAAAATATAAGGCCAGCTCCCTATACTATGAATTATTTGCCACACTATTATGACTTTATCAGAAAACTAAAATGTCCTTAAAGAGGTAATACTAAAGGTCTTTCTTATTGTTTTAATTCTGTTGTAGTCCTAAATGGGAAATAAAATTGTATTTCCAAAACAGCTTTAACGCCATTTTTTAAAGAGCATATCAATTGTACATATTCTAAAAATTTAACAAATTTTTATTAAAATGATACATATTTCTAAAAGATATAGAGGAAAATATGTTGAAGCAATCAAAAAATAACTCAAATTAAAATTCCAGGCAGGAAAGAGCCCTTCGTAGATGTGCTGATGAGTTCTGAAAACATTTGTACATTTTAGGCAGGAACAGAAGTCAGTCTGACTTGGCCTAGGTAGAAGGACTTTGACTAAATGAAAGAGACTCCAGCAAGCATTTGTCAGTTGTATTGGTGAGGGGTTAGCACAGTCAGTTGAAAACTAAAGGACTCTGAAATATACATAATGATCTATTTTCTGCAGATTAGCTGAATGCTGAGGTGGTATGGGAGACTAAAGAGTTGTGCCGGAAGCTTTTAAAAGAGAAAGCTAAATGTCCCAGGGTTTCACAGTGTTTAGTGGACAAAAGTCAGGCTGGAGGGAGGGGTCTGCCACAAACTCATCCTGGTCTTTTCCTAAAGACATTTGACATATTTTGAATCTATGTAGGCAGGAATGTATAGATACAAGTTCAAAGCTTCCAAAGAGCAGAAATTAATTTTTCATAGTCTTTCAGGGATAAGGAGACAGAGACTGTCAATTCCTTAATCAAAAGACTGTGTGATAATGTCTTAATGTATGAGCAACAGAAATAAGCCACAGGTGGAAGGGTCTTACTAAAACTTTGCAGCCTAGCCTGGACACAGCTCAATCCCTAATTGAATTCAGATAATCAATCCTTTAACTTTCTCCCTGTTAGCAATAGGTAGAATATTGCAAAGGTCAAACCATCTCTAGCAGAAGATATCATCTGGACCACATCATAACAAGAAGTATTGAAAACTAAAGACAGAAAATCTTAAAAGGACCAGAAGAAAAAGGAAATATAAATTCAAAACAGCACAGTAAGTCTGAAAGATGAGTCTTCAACAGAACAAGGGAAACCAGAATCCCATAGAATGACATCTTTAGATTGCTGAAAGAAAGAAAAAAAAAATAAAAAGCTAACCTCAAGTTCCATATCCAGGGAAACAGCTTTCAAGAATTACAGCAAACTAAAGATGTTTCTGGACTAACAGAAGTTGAGAGAATTCCCTGCCAGGAGCCCTACTTAAGGAAAATCATCTCAAATCCTCAAGAGGAGGAAAAAGGCATAAACAAGGGTAATTAATGTAAATTTTAAAAGACTATTATCTGCTTAAAACAGTAATAATAATGTGGATTTTTATAAACTGTACAAATAGAATCTATGACAACAATGGCAAAAAGGGTAAGAAGAATAAGTAGATTTAAATTGTGGTTGTTTTTTTCTTTTTTTAAAAAATATATTTTATTGCACTTTAGGTTCTGGGGTACATGTGCAGAACATGCAGGATTGTTGCATAGGTATATACATGGCATTGTTGTTTGCTGCCTCCATCCCCATCACCTATATCTGGCATTTCTCCCC